GAACGCTGCAGCCCCCCCGACCCCACCCCCCCGACGCTAACGGCCCCCGTGCCGGGAGCTGCATGCTCACCGAGACCAGCCACCCGACGCTAACGGTCCCCATGCCAGGAGCCGCACACTCACTGTGACCCGCATGCTCACCGTGACCAGCCACCCGACGCTAACGGTCCCCGTGCCAGGGGCCGCACACTCACTGTGACCCGCACACTCACTGTGACCAGCCACCCGACGCTAACGGTCCCCGTGCCAGGGGCCGCACACTCACTGTAGCCGCACGCTCACTCTGACCAGCCACGCGACGCTAACGGTGCCCATGCCGGGAGTTGCACGCTCCCCGTGACCAGCCACCCGACACTAATGTTCCCGGTGCCGGGAGCTGCATGCTCACTAATGGTCTCTGTGCTGGGAGCTGCACGCTCCCCGTGACCAGCCACCCGACACTAATGTTCCCGGTGCCGGGAGCTGCATGCTCACTAATGGTCTCTGTGCTGGGAGCTGCACGCTCCCCGTGACCAGCCACCCGACACTAATGTTCCCGGTGCCGGGAGCTGCATGCTCACTAATGGTCTCTGTGCTGGGAGCTGCACGCTCCCCATGACCAGCCACCCGACACTAACGGTTTCAGTGCCGGGAGCCGCATACTCACCATGACCAGCCAACCGACGCTAACAGTCCCCGTGCAGGGGGCTGTACGCTCACCGTGACCAGCCACGCGACGCTAATGGTCCCCGTGCTGGGTGCTGCACGCGCACTGTGACCAGCCACCCGACACTAACGGTCCCCATGCCGGGATCTGCACGCTCACTGTGACCAGCCACCTGACACTAACGGTCCCCGTGCCGGGAGCTGCACGCTCACTAACGGTCCCTGTGTCGGGAGCTGCACGCTCACTGTCACCAGCCACCCGACACTAGCAATAACTGGGCTGTGCGAGATGCAGTAGGAAACAATCTCCCTGATTGTAGCTGTAGCCACGGCCTGTTCTGCAGGCCAGCAGGGGCAGAGGTGATTCCGTAGCAGAGGGGAACTCGGGAGGGGTTTCTGGCCATCTGCCGTGTCGAGCAAAGGGGCTATGAAACCTCAGGGTGGTGCTCTCCGCCACGAGAGTGACAGGCAGCAGCCATGGGGAGCCCAGCCCGGATGGCGTGGGCAGTCCCTGGCAGACGGAGGGCAGTGTCTCTGCGTGGTTGTCGTTCATACCCACTCTCTAGGGCCGGGCTACTGAACATGCGGCCCGTCTGTTCACGGCCGCCGGTGCGGCTTGGATTTACACGGGGCTCATCACGCGGCCTGCGGGTGGGAGCCAAACCCAAACAGGAGTCACCAGAACGGTCGTCTGCGGAGACGCGTTGTGGTGGTTACATTCCTGGCCTGTCATTGCTCATTCAAAGTGCTGTCGTACGGCTGGGAATCGGGTCAATGGTGCATTGTGTTACTATCAGCAGAGCTGACTTAAATGGGGCCTGCGTGTTGTGTGGTCTTGCCTTAATCTTTGTATTCATGCCCGGCAGTGTGAAAGAAGCGATTTGCATATATTTGCATGTCTATGCAACCACATTTAAGCTGCGGCCCTCAGCACGTGCTGTGAGTAGCATTGGGCCCCCGGGGCTTCCACAGTTGAGTAGCCCTGCTCCCGGTAAGCGCTGGCAGCCTGTGGTCAGGGCAATGGGGAGCCGGCCCTAGCGGGGGGAATCACTCACCTTTGGCCCTCCTGATCAGAGGGAGGAAAGCCTTGGTGGTTCGGATGGTCCCCCAGAGATTCACTTCCGCTACCTCCTTGTAGGTCTCCATGCTGGTGAACTCAACTTCTCCGAAGGTGGAGATCCCAGCGTTGTTAACCAGCCCCCAGAGCCCTGGGATTCAAGAAGCACGGCTTTGTGAGCCAGGCCAGTCCTGGGCAGGGGCTTTCTAGGGGCCGGGTGAACCTCTCCAGTTCCGCACTCTCTGGCCCTGAGCGCCAGGGCCCGGCGGGATCTGAGTTCCTCGGGTGGCCACTTAGCGGCAGGGTGGCCAGGCTTCCCACGGTCCCATAAGGTTTGTTTACAGCCCCCAGGGGGGCTCTCAGGGCTCTGTGCAGTTACTTAGCTCTAATTTACCCCTCGGCTAGTGCAATTTCATGGCACTTCTCCCTCTCCCTGCAGTTAACGCAGCCCCCCAGACATGGCCTGGCTCCCCACGCGGCTTTCATCCTCTCGCGCCCTTTCCCAAGCCCACGGGACGCCAGCTTTGTGCTCTCCCCTCTAGAGATCCCACTGCAGGCAGCTCCGCACGTGCCAGCAACAATGGCAAGCCCAGGGCAGTGCTCTCCAAAAGACCCCCAGGCAGAGTTTGAGGCTTTCCCCCGCAGCGTTACAGAGCAAGCTCAAAATGTACCTGCAGCTGCCCTCCCCCGCCCTCAGGATGTCTTCTCAGAGCCCAGGGAGCAGTGGCGGGGTGGTTGGCCTCCCGTGGGCCAGCACAGTCTCTGGTCCCGGGGTGCCGGGCTGGAGAGGTGCAGCCGGTACCAAGGTCCGAGAGCTCTCTTCGGCCCAGGCGCGCTTAGTGCTGCACAGGGAGGTCAGCATCATCTCCCGTTTACAGATGGGGAAACAGAGGCTCAGGGACACCCGGCAGGCCGGGGCAGAGACGAGAATTTAACTGAGGCCTTCGGAGTTAAAGACTCTCCACCAGGCCTCCCTGCCTCTGCATCACCACCACAAAGACGCATTCCAGACGGGCAAGAACTCCGATCTGAGCTCCACTGATCGAGCCGACGTGGCAGCCAGCACAGCTGCTCAGGGACACCTCGCCAGAGAGCACCACACGACGTTAACGAAATTCTAAATC